GGGGGGGGGGGGGGGGGGGCATGATAGCAGTTATTCCAGTATTTGAAAGGTTGCCACAAAGAGGAGGGGGTTAACATTTGCCAAAAAAAACAGAAGGCAAGACAAGAAATAATGGATGGAAACTAATCAAGGAGAGAAGCAACCTGGAATTAAGAAGAAACTTCCTAACCGTGAGGACAATTATCCAGTGGAACAGCTTGCCTCCAGAAGTTGTAGGTGCTTCATCACTGGAGGCTTTTAAGAAAAGACTGGTCAGCTACCTATTTGAAATGATATAGAGCTTGAGCAGGGGGTTGGGCTAGAAGTCCTCCAAGGTCCCTTTCAACTCTATTCTGATTAAGATCAAATTGGTGTTGGTGGTCTTCTATCTGCAGACTCTCATACACTGCCAAGAAGACATAACCACTCCTGAAGAATACAGGAAATCTAAGGGCAGGTCAATCTTCTAGAGAATTCTTATACCGATAACTCCATGCAGATAAATAACAACCTGCCTCCTTTGGGAATCCATACTTTAGTCTTCCGATCATTTTAATTTTGTTTAGTTTTGGTAGCTGTACAAAATAGGGTTTTCCTGACATCCTTGTGATTTCCAGGATTTCCCCTCTAGCTCTCAACCCTTGAAAGTTTGCAACTGTTCAGACACACTCCGTTCGGTTTTATCTTCCCCAGCCCGTCTTTTAATTGCAAGATGCTTCCCCCCCCTAACTCTAATTACATAGGTCTATAAAGCAGGAAGATGGGAGCCCAGGAGCCCGGGAGAACCGTATTGCTTGGACAATAAAGAAAGAGGAATTCTGAGATTCGTGTGATTCAGAAAAATGGAACACGAATGAACAATGGTGAAATCCTCAATAAAGGCACAAAACCTTCTGCTCCAGTGTGGTTTCCCCCAAAGCCCCTTTTGTCATTCCTATGACAAAGCCTTTAAAAATAATGATAAAATGCATCCTCTAAGGAGGCTGCCCTCCCTCCCTCTCTTCCTTTTCTTACTTACCCCTTCCTGATGATACTCTGTGAAATGTTCAAAACAGAAAATCACTACTTACAGAGGCGGCTTGTAATTTCAAAGTGATTTCCTTCAATTACAGACTGGGGTTTTATTTTAATGAAAAAAATATAGGATGCTTGTATCCAGCAGTGACCTGATGGATTCCAAGGCTCAAGAAAAGAAAGGAAATCGAAAAGTTCACAGTTCTGATTCATGTGGCCAGATCCTTTGCAACTCATTTTTTTCAATCCTTGCTCCAATTTTATCCTATTAAAATGCTCTGCTTTGTTATGGTAGTCTGGCTTTAAATTATATTTCTTTGGTTATGGCAGAAGCCTGTCAGAAAACATTCAGAACCCCAGGATGAGTTCCAGATATCTGGACCAATTCCCAAATTTCTCAGCAATTCCCATTTGGGAATTTAACAGAACAGAATAACAGAGGTGGAAGGGACTTTGGAAGTCTTCTAGTTGAACTCTCTATTCAAGCAGGACACCCTATATACCATTCCAGACCAATGGCTAGACAATCTTTTCTTAAAAATCTGCAATGATGGAAAGCAATCTAGCTAGAAGACAGCAGACCGGGAGAGACTGGAGACTCAAACATATGAAGAACGGTTACAGGAACTGGGCATGGCTAGTCTAGTGAAGAGAAGGACCAGGGGAGACATGATAGCAGTCTTCCAATATTTGAGGGGCTGCCACAGGAAGGAAGGGGTCAAGCTATTTTCTAAATCACCCAAAGGCCAGACAAGGAATAATGGATGGAAACTGAACAAGGAGAGATTTAACCTGGAAACAAGGAGAAACTTTCTGACAGTGAGAACAATCAACCAATTGAATAGGAGTTGCCCTCGGAAGTTGTGTGAGTTTCATCACTTGAGACTTTCAAGAAGAGATTGGTCAAGCATAATTGAGGTGTCTTGGGTCTCTTGTTTTCTTAAGAACTTTGGACTTCTTGTAAACTAAGAGATCTTTCCCAAGTTTGTTAGGGCTTTTCTTGAGTTCTCTCTGGTGCTTTTTCTATAAAGTAATGTCAGTCACTTCCTGAACCTCAGAAAAAGATGGAAATGGTGTGGGGGCTCCCGCTTGGACAGGGGGTTGGACTAGATGACCTACAAGATCCCTTCCAATTCTGATTATCTGTTAAAAAAATCTGTTCAGATTGGTCTAGACTAGGGGTGTCAAACTCGCATCGTCACGGCGTCAACACGTGATGTATTGTGACTTTTTCCCCTTTGCTAAACTGGGCAAAGGCATGGCCAGGGCGTGAAGCATCCGGCCCACAGGCTGTGAGTTTGACACTCCTGGCCTAGACTGATTGGCCTGCAGTTTCTCAAACTTCAACGACATTAAGGTGTGTGGACTTCAATTCCCAGAATGCTGGCTGGGGACATTCTGGGAGTTGAAATCCAGACATATTCAAGTTGTTGAGGTTGAGAAAGACTGAGATAGACAAGATTGCTTGTTTATTGGTCATTCCTTTCATTTTAGGTTGCTAGACACAGTTTGTTACTATCAATCTCCTTTTATTGAGGTTAGGGCAGATAGAACAAGAAAGCTATATCAGCTCAGAATGTTCCCAGACAGGAAACGTTTGGCCGAGTCTCTAAAGCTAGTCAGAAGTTTAAGACCTGAAAACAACAGGACATGTCAGAGTCACAGTGACTTCTAAGATTAAGAAATTCTGGCAGCAGAACTCCTATAAAATAAGTCTAGAAACTGCAAACAATCCTCTGTTTTGTACTCCAGGACATGACATGGAGGAAAAGGAGTTTTAGGTTTGATTTTGTACATCCCCCATAATGGAGGAAGAAAAAAAATGGATACTAAAAGAAAGAACACTCAAAGGGCTCCAGTAACAGGATCAAGCTGAAATCTTTCCCTAATTTTGCAGTTTTCAAGAAAGCTAGAATTTATTTTTAGATTATTATTTTTTTAGGATAGATAATGTTCCCATTTCTTTTCAACCTTACCTGGTTTAAACAACATATTTTTATTTATTTATTTGATTTGTCAATCGCTTACAATCGCTTACAATTGCAAAAGCTGATCACATGGGACACAGCAATGGCCGTAAGTAGGAACCAGTGGCCAAATTTTGATCACGTGACCATGAGGATGCTACAAAAGTCATAACGGTCATAAGTATAAACATAGTATAAGTATAAACATAGTTATGAGTACATGAAATGGATACATCTAAGAAAAATAAAAAGAAACAATAGGTCAGGGACGGTAGGCACGTTGGTGCGCTTATGCACGCCCCCTACAGACCTCTTAGGAAAGGGGTGAGATCAATAGTAGACAGGCTAAGGTTAAAGTTTATCGGGTTTGGGGAAGAAACCACAGAGTCAGGTACAGTATTCCAGACATTGACCACTCTGTTGCTGAAGTCGTATTTCCTGCAAACAAGTTTGGCGCGGTTTACCTTGAGTTTGTATCTATTGTGTGCTCTTGTATTGTTATGGTTGAAGGTGAAGTATTCATTGACAGGTAGGACATTGCAATGTATGATTTTATATACTATACTTAGATCGGACCGAAGGCGGCGTAGTTCTAGGTTTTCTAGGTCTAGAATTTCAAGTCTGGTGGCATCAGGTATTCTGCAACGAGTAGAGGAGTGGAGAACTCTTCTTGTGAAATATTTCTGGACTTTCTCAATATATGTAACCTCATCAGAGAATACATTCTGTTCCTTGGTTTAAATTATAAATTAACCAAAAGAACTAAGTTTGTCCAACATACAGGTAATCCTCAACTTACAATGGTTCGTTTAATGACCATTGAAAGTTACTACAGCACTGAAAAATGTGACTTACGACTGATTTTCAGAGTTCCTTACTTGGCAGCATCCCCATGATCATGTGATCAAAATTCAGATGCTTGGCAACTGATTCATATTTATGACCATTGCAGTGTCCAAAGATCATGTGATCACCTTTTGACAAGCAAAGTCAATGGAAAAGCCAGATTCATTTAACAACCATTTTACTACCTTAACAAATGGGATGATTCACTTAACTGTTCAAAATTACAATGGCTCTGAAAAAAGTAACTTATGACTGTTATGACTTTTGTAGCATCCTCATGGTCACATGATCAAAATTTGGCCACTGGTTCCTACTTATGGCCATTGCTGTGTCCCATGTGATCAGCTTTTGCAATCTTTTGACAAGAAAAAAATCAAAGGAGAAGCCAGATTCACTTAACCTTTTTTTAAAACGTGTTACTAACATTTTTTTTCCTCCTGGTATTTGTTTCCATCCTATTGGAAACAAAAATTCAAATCAAAGGAGCAGAGAAGTATAGAATTTGTGATATTATAAATTGCTGTTACCTGGCATCAAACACAACACAGCGCAACTTCCTTGCAGCACTGTTGCCGATGATCTCGATCTGCAGGTGGATTTCTCCTTGCACTTCCTCATCGGGGTCAATTTCCGTGAGGTTCAACCAACCACTGTAGCCTAAGAACAGGAGCATGCAGAGAAGGTGGGGTGGAACCAAATGTGTAAGATGAGAACAACAGCAGAGTCTACCAGGCTGGAATGGGTGCTGTGATGACCCAGGGCGTGGCACAAAGGCAACACAGTCAGATAATCAGTAGGAGTCCCTTTATTAGCTTCAAATTTGCCCCCAATGTCCTGATTACCTTCTGGCCAGAGAAAAACTCTCCCAGGAACAGCTTTTGACTGCAGAGAAAAGCCCAAAACATGGTCAGCAAAAACTGTAACCATAAGTCCAATCAAGGCAAGATGAGGTAATTAGTCCGGCAGGGCAAGAGAAGGAATTCCAGACGTGAAGGAATGGTAGTAATTCAACACGGTTGGGAGGATGCCAGGAACGCAGATAATCAAAGTCAACACAAGATAAACTCACGTTTGTTCCCATCAGCTGTCGCACTCAGCATGCATCTCTTTTAAACTCTCTTCCCTGGTGTGGCTAATGAAGTGAATCAGGGCCTTTCCTCCCCCGTTAGCCATGCAACCCACGTTGCTCTCTTCTCCGTTCCTCCCTGCGTGCTCTAGGATGAAGAGGTGGTGGGCCTGGGTCTTCTTCTGAACTCCCTCTCCCTTGTTTTACCTCTCCCCTGCTCTGCCCAGCCAGACTTTGCCCTTCCCCAGTTTCCTCCACAGCCAGCAGAGCCGCACTCCCACTCCCTGTCACCTGTTCATCTTCCTCCTTGGATTCAGACTCCGACAGGGACATGACAGGGGCAATGTGAGACTTCAAGAAGATTATCAAGCACTTTTTTGACATTTCATTCCCACCCCATGATTATCATCTATTAGTTAAAGTTGGGTGCTGCCTACAGTTGTAGACAGTGTTCATTTACTCCCTGCCATGGTTATATCCCCCTGCAATCAGTGAAGTTAGGATGGGCTGAAATAGAAAGTTCCCCCAGGAAAGTTCCCTGCTTATCGTCTGGTTTACACACATTGCTCAAAGTCATGTGTTGATTAACCTTGGGTTACTGAATAAGCCACCGTATGTTTGGACAAAATGGTAGCCTAATCCACTATAGCACAGAACTACAAAGGTTGGATTGACTCAACAGAATAAACATTGGGATTACTACTACTACGACGACGACTACTACTACTACTACTACTACTACTACTACTACTACTACTACATCTAAGCACTCCCACAGGCTGGATCTGGATCCTGGGTCTTGAGTTTGACATCCCTGGCTTAGATTAAAATGATTGATTCTTTTATTTAAAACATTTGCATCCAGTCTTAATGAAACTGAATCTTGTTCAGCACTGTGCACCTCCTTCTGTTAGCAGCCAGTGATGTTGTACAGCAGCCAGATACGCTGTATTGTATCTTGACTTGTGGCTCATTTATTAGTGAAAAACCCAAAACCAACAGCTGCGTTCTCCCAATGTGCTTTGCCTGGTTACTGAAATGACTCATTTTCTGAATGATACAGTGAACCATAAACTAGAAACAAAACACAAGGAGGGTTTGCAAAACACATTAAACCATGCACACACATACACGCACACACACATCTAGATAAAGTTTATAGGAACCAAGCATAGCCTGTCGGGTCCCTGTTTAACTGACTTAATGGTATTGTTTGAACACAGAGACTGTCTGTCCTCGGTTGTTCCCCATTCTAATCCCACCTAAACTAGATGTAAATTGGGGTTACAAAAGGAAGAATGTTTACTCTCTTTTCTTGGAAAGGGAGATTAAACACCTGAAGGCAGGATAAGAAACAAGGCATGGAAACTAATCAAGGAGAGAAGCAACCTAGAACTAAGGAGAAATTCCCTGACAGTTAGAATAATTAACCAGTGGAACAACTTGCCTCCAGAAGTCGTGAATACTCCAACACTGGAAATTTTAAAGAAGAGTTTGGACAACCTTTTGTCTGAAATGGTTTAGGGTTTCCTGCCTAAGCAGGGGGTTGGACTAGAAGACCTCCAAGGTCCCTTCCAACTCTGTTTATTCAATCTATTCTATTCTAAACAGACAACATAACCCCCTAAAACCAGGAGCCTGTGAATTCTAGTCCTATCTTAGGCACAAAGCCAGTTGACACAAGGTGATTTGGGGCCAATCCCTGTCTCTCAGCCTTAGGAAGAAGAAGGTAACAGCAAACCTCTTCCAAAAGATGTTGCAAAAAACCCAGCAAGGACTGGTCCAGGCAGTCACCAAATGTGAAGACACACCAAGACACACTTAATATATATATATATATATACCTGAGCTGACAAAATCCACTCCATGGTTAAAGCACGTGTTGATCCCAAGCTGGTCTACCTGCTTTGTAATTTTTTCCCCCAACAGAGACTTGAACTGGATTTCTATGCTCCTTTTTACCCTTAAAAGAGCTTTCAAATTCAGCCCCAGCAACTGCAGAGAGAGAGAGAGAGTATCTCCCTGCCCCCATCTCAAGGATGAGTCAGTTTGCTTCCAATAGATTCCCCCCAGATTTTTAAGTAAACATCTCACGTTCTCTGTCTAGCATGGAAATTAGAAAAGTGAATGTTACGTGAATCACTGCAGTTGTGAAATTAGTAACATGATTATTAAGTCGTAAGTGTGAAAAATGGTCCTAACTCACTATTTTCGGTGCTACCGTAACTTTGAACGGTCACTAAATGAACTGTTGTAAGTCGAGGACTACTTGTATTGAAAAATGGATTTTATTTATTCCGTTTATTCTGATTTCTTTCCCTTTGTTCTGGGGGACCCCTGGGGTCCATACCTAAAGCTTTGGGGGAATCATTTGTTCTCCAACCCCAGTTTATAGTTTGCCCTTCAGAATTGCAGCCAAGGCTCGTGAACAGTTCCTTAAGTGCAATGCAGAACAGTTGAAGAATGCAATCTGAAGCAAGGCCAGACAAAATAAGGGAAGTCTAAACAATAAGCAGGAGAGGACACCACAAACCTTGGTTCACACACAACAAAGTTAAAATAGGATTTTGTATTCAGTGCATTGTGAGAACCCAACCATTAGCTTAGCACAAGGGGTGAACCAGGAGTTCTGATGAAGGTATAATAAGGAGCACAAAATGTTCTGTGACACCCGTGTTTTGTTTGATTAACTTGGCTTTAGCAGGTTACGGTGAACTCATCCACTAAATCTGGGTGTTGTTAAAAGCTAATGATCTTCCTCTCCTCTTCTGAGCTACAACCTCTCCAGCCAGCCAACCATGACACCCATGGATGAAGTGAGACGAGGTGAATGCCTCCGAGCATTTCAGCCTGCCTCTTTATCAGGGCAAATTAATTAGATTTGCAGCTTGCAACCAAAATGGTAATGGCAAAGGTTTCCCCTGTCCAGTCGTGTCTGACTCTAGGGGGTGATGCGCATCTCTGTTTCTTAACCAAGGGAGCCATCATTATCTGAAGATGCTTTCATGGCCATGTGGCCAGAATGACTATACTCTGAGGCGCATGGAACGCTGTTACTTTCCTGTCGAAGTGGTACCTACTTATCTACTTGCATTTGCTTGCTTTCGAACTGCTAGAAGCTGGGACAAGTAATGGGAGCTCACCCTGTTGTGTATCACTCGGGTCTCAAACCCAGGCTGTCAGCTGACAAGCTCAGCATCTTTAACCACTGAGCCATCATGCACCCTTTGCAAGCAGAAGTATTGATCATTCTGCTTTTAGAAATGAGATACCTGGACAGGAAATAGTTCTAATAGTAGATTCAAAAGGGAGAAGAAATGATCACATTCATTTCTGCACCCATTCCGTTTACTCATTCAAATGAAGAGATGTCTTTCTCAACCAGGAGGGAAACTTACCTTTCGGATGATCGGCCAACAAACTTTGAGGGATGCACACTTTCCCAATGACGTCATCCCGGCTGATACAAGGAAGACAAACAAGACAAGGCAAGGTAAACGGAGTGTCAGCACCAACCAAAGAGGCCACCCCAGAGCATTATACAGAAGAGGAGCCTAGAACTGAAAATATATTGATATTTCAGGTGGGAAGAGGACGGACAACAGGGTCACTGCCTCTTTGGGTTACAATGGCCTGTACAATAATCTTATGGACTTTTAGAACCTGATCTTTTAAAATATTACCTGACTTTGCTTGCGCTCTCACCTTTTAATCATTTGTGCCTCTGCCCATATATTTGCTTTCCTCTTCTCATACATAACCCTAAAGAGCTAGAGATGCCAGGAAACTCCTGTGAGGAATCTATATTATATTACTTTAAAAAGCCTACATAAAACACTTCTTCTCCATCCAGTCACCATCCCCAAACCAACACAATCTAATGCCCCCTAGTGGGTAAACATTGTATAATGCAATTATCCACCCACTTTTGATTGGCATTGTACTGTATACGGTTTTCTTCTCTTTAGAAAGAACAAGAAAGGAGAATCCTACCCTCTAAAAGCCCGATTGGACTGACAGTGGAACCCTGGCCCCAAAATACCTACTCCTGAAAGGGAGGAAGACAGCAAGGATTAGAATAAAGAATTCTGAAAAAGAGCACCTCACACTACACCTGTTCCCTTTAGATATCGTGGAAAGCTAATAAGGGTGGAACCTCTTGAGTTCCTGGATAAGGGAACCTGCAAGAAATCAGGAGGAGGACGGGAAGGAGGAGGATCTCAAATGACTTCATCAGGGGTCTCCAACCATGGCAACTTTAAGACTTGTGGACTTCACCTCCCAGAATTCCTCAGCCAGCAAGCTGGCTGAGGAATTCTGGGAGTTGAAGTCCACAAGTCTTAAAATTGCCAAGGTTGGAGATCTCTGTGCTACATCAATGTCTCCATGAAGTCATCAGGGGCCAAGCTCCCATGTGAAAAACATTTTCCTTACTTTCTTATAAAATACAAAGTGCAGCAGATGGGCTCAGCAGGGAGAGGTTCTCCCACTACTGCTTCACGGCGTGCGGCATTCTCACTACAGACTGGGAGACAAAGAGAACAGATCGCTCTAAAAGGAGGAATAGTATACCTCAATGCATCTTCATCCATCACATAGAAGGATACACAATGGAAACTGGGAGACAAGTGAACTTCATATTCTTCACCCCAAAAAGGAAAGAGAGTTTTCCACACTGTGGCTGTCCTGAGGGAAGGAGGAAGTCAATCAAGGCCCATTTTTTTGCCCGAAGTGATGTAACAAAATACATCACCAAATACATCATAAAAAAAAAAAAAACCCAACGAGAATACGTTTTTCTACAACAATGTATTTTTGACAATAATTTAAGCAAAGCCCCAACAATATTATTTAACACCTGAATAATCAATGTATTAGATAAGAAGCTGTATTTTATTTTATTAATTTATTTTGAACCGGCAAACCCTGTACTGTTGATGTTACCCACAGTTTATGAACCTGAAATGGTCAGATTACTTTCAAAATTCAGGACAAGAGAGAGAAAGTTTAGGGAGGTTACAGAATAGCCCACCTCGAATGATTAAGCAGGTAGAGAAGGAAGAGTTGGATTTGGGCTTTTTGGCCCTCAAGTTAATTCATAGTACTAGGATTTTGCCATTCAGATGTCAGTTGTAGAGTTAATACAGCTACGTAGGGTTGGCTCACTTCAGTTTGACTTTTGTGTTTTTTTACAAATCCACAATCAGACTAAGAAACCGTGGTCACAGACCAACGTCTTCTAAGTTAGGAGTCTCCAACCTTGGCAATTTTAAGACTTGTGGACTTCAACTCCCAGAGTTCCTCAGCCAGCAAACCTTCCTTCTAAATAAGTTTTCACAAGGCTGGTGAAGTAACAGGTGCATCTTTAAGCTGGGTTTTTAATTCAGTTCCACAGAGCATCAGAAGGCAAACATTGCATGATTCATCCTTATTGGGAATCATCAGATGTTGGCAGCCAGATGTTCACTGATGATTAATTACATCTGAGAATTCCCAGTAAGGACAAAACTGGAAGTGGGCAGGTAGCGCGTGCCCTTCTAGTGAGCTACGTGACTGAAAAACATAACGCAAAGTACACCACTGTGTGAAAATAGAGAAATGTTCCACCCCTCCAGGATATGGGATTGGATGGAAGGCACATAACACCTTGTGCATGTGGGCATGTCATACAGATAATGCTTAACTTATGCCCATTAATTTAGTGACAATCCAAAGTTTCAATGAAAATCGTGGTTTGAATGGTGGTTGCACTTAAGACTGACACAGGATCTCTGTGATCACATGATCAAAATTTGGTGCTTGGCAACTAGCATGTATTTATGACAATTGGATCACATGATCGCCATTTGTAACTCTCCCAGGGTCTTCTGACAAGGAAAGTCAATGGGGAAAGGTGGATTTGCTTGATGACCATATGTTTTGCTTAATGATGGCAGCAAAAAGATAATAAAATCAAATGTGACTCACTTAACAACCACACTGCTTAGTGATGGAATTCCCAGTCCCACTTGTGGTCATAAGTTGAGGACTAGCTGTAACATAACATCTATATCCCTGCTCTGAGAGCTTAAGGGAAGGTAGACTTTATATGACATTCTGATAAGTTCTGATTGTGGTTTTTTTTTGTTCTATGAGGGAAGGTAGCAAAAAAAAGTTCTCTTGACTTACCTAATTATTGTTTCATTGTCAATTTTCACAATACAGTAGGGGTCACTGCTACCTGTACTGAAAAGGAAAAAAGAACAATACATACAGTATAAGGATATATGATAGTAGAACAAAAAAGCTAATACAATCCTGGATTGTATAACAGAGGCATAGAATCAAAATTACATGAAGTATTAGTACCACTTTATAAATCTTTAGTAAGACCACACCTGGAATACTGCAACCAGTTTTGGTCATCACATGACAGAACAGATTTTGAGACTTTGGAAAAAGTGCGGAAAAGAGCAACTAAGTTGATTAAAGGCCTGGAGACTAAAATATATGAAGAACGGTTGCAGGATTTGGGTTTGGCTAGTCTAGAGAAAAGGAGAATTAGGGTTGACACGATAGCAATATTCCAGTATTTGAGAGGCTGCCACAAAGAGGAAGGGGTCAATTTATTTTTCAGAGCACTGGAGGGCAGAACAAGAAACAATGTGTTGTGGTTAGCCGGAAGCAGGTGTGGACGGCTGAGGAAAGCGAGGACTCAGATGAGGGGCCAGGACCATTAGGGAGTGGACTGCTCTGCTGCCTTCAAAGATTGTGGAGGCTGGCAGCAGTGATGAGGAAGTTCCCGAGGAGCCTGTGCCAAGTGCACAGCATGGGTGACTCGGGAGTAAGGCTGCAAGGTAATGGGCCCTCCTTCAAGAAGATAAAAGCCAGCTGTGAAAGGAACGTACTTTGCAGAAGGCAAAGACGTTTTGAAACTACCAGACTCGTGATCATTCCAGTATCCTGAGTTTGTATTTGAAGATTCTTGTATTGCAAATTATTTCTTGTCTGTTATCTTTTGGCAAGTCTCGCACAGTTTGGCAAGGCTTGTGCTTATCTCAGCTAATTATTTTGTAAAAGCATTACAAGGTTTCTGTTCCCTTTGGATTGTGTTTGATTTGTTGGGAAAGGGCGTGGGTCAGAACACAATGGATGAAAACTAATCAAGGAGAGAAGCAGCTTGGAATTAAGGAGAAACGTCCTAACCATGAGGACAATCAACTGGTGGAACAACCTGCCTCTAGAAGTTGGGAATGCTCTACCACGTGAGGTTTTTAAGAATAGACTGGACAGTCACTTGTCATAAGATCTTTGGTTGAGTAGGGGCTGGAGTAGAAGACCTCCAAGGTCCTTCTAGCTCTATACTGATTCTTCCCCTTCCATTTATATAACTAAATTATCCACTCATATATTAGTGAAATCAGAAGGGCAACTTGCCAGAGAGCGTCCCATCATCTTCCTTTCTATTTTGTCATAAGCTAATTAATGCTTAAAGATGTTTCCTCTAGCTCGTTTATCCAACTTTAAGTGCCAAGGAACCCACCCTCAACCAACCTGTCTCAGCTTTCTAAACTTTTATAATGAGGAAATTTGAGCAAGCACATAGCATAGTTTTTACAGGCAATATGATCCTGTTTTTAACGCTTTGGAAGCCATTGGGAATCCTAAAGTGCTGAAAACGAAGGGCAGGGTTGGCTACCCTTGGGAAGATTTGCACTGATTTCTTCTAATTCAGATACAGATACAGATAATCACAGTTGGAAGGGACATTGTAGGCCATCTAGTCCAACCCCCCCCCCCCGCCCAAGCAGGAGACCCTATACCATTTCTGGCAAATGGCAGTCCAGTCTCTTCTTGAAAGCCTCCAGTGATGAAGCTCCCACAACTTCTGAAGACAAGCTGTTCCACTGGTCGATTGTTCTTATTGTCAGAAAATTTCTCCTTATTTCCAGGTTGTGTCTCTCCTTGATCAGTTTCCATCCATTATTCCTTGTTTGGCCTTAGGGTGCCTTAGAAAATAGCTTGACCCCATCCTCTCTGTGGCAGCCCCTCAAATATTGGAAGACTGCTATCATGTCTCCCCTGATTCTTCTCTTCACTAGACTAGCCATGCCCAGTTCCTGTAACTGTTCTTCTTCTGTTTTAGCCTCCAGTCCCCTAATCATCCTGGTTGCTCTTCTCTGCACTTAATTCACAAAAATAAAAGCAGAAAATGAATTTTAAAATCCTGACTCTGCCATCCATGTATATGACACGATCTTATTGCACTTATTAGCACTCAACCACATGTTGGAAGAACCTGCTAACTGCTGGTTAAGGACATTAATCCACATGCCATTTGCAAGCCACTTTCGGCCCACGGAGAAGGAAAACAGGGCTGATCTTTATCAAAAAGTGGGTGTTCTGGCTTCCATTCACACAAGCAGTGGTACTTGGTCTTGCTATGGTATTAATTTTTTTCTTTTAATCTTATTTTCTTCCTTCCAGACAAAGAAAACTGGAAAACCAAGTGGGGAGACAACAATAAGGAAAGGTCTCCATTGCTTTCTTTTGCATGGAAGGAACTAGGAAAGAAAAGTTCTCTCTTGATTCTGGAAAACCAGAGGTGCCAAGGCAAGAAAATTATTCCCCGTTGGCTGTTTGATGAACTGGAAAACAATGCCATCAGCCCAGAACCAGAGTATATAAGAATAGAGACACATCTCACTGATTTCCTGATTCAGTCGATAAAAATGATCTGAAATGCACCTGAGGACTCATAACTGGATTTTTTTCATTAATATATTTGACCACAAAAATGGGCAACATTTTTTTGTTTTGTGGGCTGGAGATATGAAGGGAGGGAATGAAGAGTACGACAAACACTCCATTCACTGGATTTAAAATTAATTAAAAATAAACCGATTAGATTCTAGGGTTCTTTTCCATCATTGGATGAGTTTCTCCTTCAGCCAACTTAAACAAAATTGTATTATTGGTGCAAAGAGAGCTTTTGATGTTTCAGAGAGGCCCAGAAACTCAAAATACAGGAATAAAATTTAGAATTAATTTGTTTGGCTACTGTGGAGCAAAGCTATCAGCTCATCTGATCATTCCAAGTACTGAACCATTGTTTGGATAAGGCACCCCCCCATATGCTAATCTAGGGGCAAGAGTTCTCATTGTTCCCAGTGGAGGGAGGGACCAAAAACTGGATGACATTTGGCAAAGCCAAAGGAACTACCAATCAAGGAACTTTCAATCCAAACAAAAAAGCTAACCATAAATAATAGTCTAATTAAGAAACCAGCAAGAACACTCCCACCAACACTGTCTGGGCAAACCACTAATATATAAAAATAAGAGCAAACCTCTTCCATTATAGCACTGATGATGTTACCTAGTTTGGTAATGAAATGTCCGCAAGAAAGCCACTAAACTCAGAGAATACCAAGGATGCCACAAGTACAGGGCAGTGTTGAGCTTCAGGATTTACTGACGTTTTGTTGGCAATTGTGACAGTGTGCATTTTCAGAGACAAGATAATAAGCTGTGCAGATCACAGACAATTGAACAGGGATTAACTATGTTCCTGTCTTTATAGCCAAATGACATATGGAGTTTGGGACAGAGGATACACCTTGGTCTCTGACGTTGTACCAAGTTTTATGGCAAGAATGAAGTTTGCCTTGGAATAAAAGTGACTCATATATACAGCAAAGTCAAAGGTATTAAGAAACTGAAGGTGCTCATAGGAAAGATAGGAAGGGCAGGGAGGTGTAGAGGAAGATAAATAGAAAAATAATATAATGCTATTTCAGATAAATTATAATTAGAACCCTGGGGTCTAACTTATTTCCTAGTTTACTACCTGCGATGCAAAAAGCCAGCTATTTTTCTAACAAATGAATTCTAGCCTCTGCTGATTAAGTGAAGTCAGCTCCATTCCTGCTCGAGGCAGCCTGTTTATTTCTCCTCTGAAATTGCTCAGACCTGAGAAATTACCGAGGGAGTTGCTCTTCATTTAGCTTGTGATAGTTGCAAGGGGAGTTATTTCATCTATTGCTTGTTTTCCCCCCAAAATATCAAAACTCCTTTCTATCCACCCGTCCACCCACTGCCCATTGCCCGGAAGAACAAAAGCTGATTATACACAAAGGGTAATCACTCATCTCCGTAGCTGGAGAACAATAAAACAGATGGAAAAATCATAGCCAAACAGGAAGCTTTCAATTAACATTAAGGAGGATTTGGGGTTGAATGGAACTTATAAACAAACAGAGAAGAATGAGGGTCACCAGAAGGGTAATCTAGCATATACTTCTAGCTGCATTGGGATAATCAGAATATAACAAGACGTTGCATATCAGATGGTTATTCGCATAGCCTGGAACCTCTAAGAACTACCGTAGCAGTGGTAAAGGTAAAAATTTCCAATATCCAGTCACTCTAGGTAGTGGTACACATTTCCAATTCTTAGCCAAGGAAACCAGCATTGTCTGAAGACACTTCCATGGTCACGTGGCGCATGGAACACTGTTATCTTCCCACCAAAGTGGTGCCTATTTATCTACTCACATTTGTATGCTTTGGTAAGTAATGGGAGCTCACCCCATTGCATGGTGCTTGGGTCTCGAACCTGGGCTGTCAGCTTTCCAGCTGACAAACTGAATGTCTTTAACTGCTGAGGCATCCCATCCCCTTACTAGCAGTGGTTCTTCTGCTCAATCCGTTTGACTGGAGTTGGTAGGAATTAAACTTGAATGTAAGCTTGCAATAATGGCGGATATCTGTAGCTCAGGTGTATGTAACTACTGAATAGAATAGAATAGAATAGAATAGAATAGAATAGAATAGAATAGAA